TGATATAGAAAATAAAATCAAAATAGATAATGTCCCGGCTTGGATTCAATCAGATTTAAATAGGCCTCACAATAATTTATAAATGTTCGTAAACAACAAAATGGCGACAGGGTTATTACATAGCGAGGCAGCATAGATCGATGAGATTTCAGTTCCAAATATCTTTGTAAATACTAAACAGAAATAAACTATTTTTTAACTGCTTTTCCTTGTAGAGATACATCTTTGACAATATTGTAGCTTGCATTTGATTCTGTAGTGTTAAAATGGTGCATCATAACTTTTAAGATCCATTGATATTAGGGGCTGTGTGACAGTTGATTTTACTTGAGAAACAAGATTTCAAGAATATTTATATTGTTATGGCGTTCTACAACATCCCACTGTTTACATTGTTGCTGCAGTTTTTTTCAGCTGGCTTTTTCCTCCCAAAACGTTTTGGACTAAGTGGAACATGCAAGATTAGATTTTTTGCATTTCTAGTTGAGCAATGTGATTCTGACTTATGCACAAGGGTAGACCTTTGTTTTTCTTCCCATTCAAACAACATTAAACCCCATATCATTTCGTTCCTGGTTTCGAATCCCCGGTTGTACGTGACAAGGAGTAGGGTCGCCTGTCCAACCTCGTGGGTTTTCTACGGGTCCTCCAGTTTCCTCCCACTGCTAAAGACCCCTATGCGCAAGCGAATTATTGAAATAAAATTAAACCATATGTTAGTCCCGAAATGACCTAGTTTGTGTCGAGTGGACGTTAAACCCCATTTCTCTCTCTCTCTCATTTCGTTCCATTCATACTCTCGGACTGTTGGGGTCGTGCATCGATAAACTTTTGGGTTAATATTTGAAGATGGCATATACTTACATGCGGGGTGATTCAAAATCAAAGATTATGTACCGTCATGTACGTTTCGGGCAATATTTTAATATCGATCTACTTTTTAAAAAAAAAAAAGAAAAACCTGAAATCGATTTATCTGTTATGAAAATGCTGCAGGATTTGTGTACCTAAGACTTTAATTCTCATTGATTTGAATTCTTTCACCATTTTTTCCGGGTTCTGAGTGCGTTTGTTTTTTTTTCTCTCATAATCTTAGCCAATCAATCTTGTTGACATGTTCTTTGTGACAATTACCTGAACTTGAGAAATTATGTGTATCAAGACTTCATAGCCATTACGATCGTATTGACAAATAATGCAATTCTTGTCAAGGTTTGACAAGCGAAATGAATTGCTTGTTAATTTGGTCGAAGACTACAACAATGTGTACAAGTCTCAATGCAGATAAAAACTGAAATAGCAAGATTTTAATGAAAGGTATTCCATCTTACGGTAGGTTTTTATTTAAAGCATTTTATGATATTTACATAGGTTTAATTGAGTAGCGTTTTATTTTTTTTTAGCAAGTTATGATATTTACGTATGGGATTAATTGAGTGTGATAACCATTTGATTTGTTGATTTAACAGTGATTGGTTCATTGATGTTTGATGGATGTGGGGTTGGGCAGTCTAGTGGTTTAACATGTGTGAAACCATAAAGTCATGATTGAGTCAAGTGGTGTGGTTTCAACAAGGGGCGGGGCGCATCCCACAACTACATGCAAGCAAATTATTGAAATAAAATTGAACCGTATGTTAGTCTCAAAATGACCTAGTTTGTGTCGAGAACGTTAAACCCTTTGATGGATTGTTGGCAATGGTATTTATATACCAGGATTACAGAACTTAAAGGTTTCTTTGTTTCAAAATTCTGTTAAAACCGCTAATCAACAGTAAAATAAAATTTGTTTAATATCCTGTGGCTCAGAGAATAAGACGCTGGTTTGCTAGCCTGGAGGTCGCGAGTTCGATCCCAGTGTTGGCTGAGAAAGTTCTTGAGGATTTTCCGGCATGGTTTCCCCTTGTCAGTGGTTTAGGACAGAGGGCCTGACAAGGACGACTGTCTAGTCGTTCACATGGGATGAAAAATCAAAGTCCTGTGTACATATTGCCAAGCACGTAAAAGATCCTAGGCAGTTGGAATTCATTATATAAGAGTAATCCGTAGCGCTGCTGTCTGGGCAAAATTTCCATAGTACACTGTATATCCTGTCTTCATTGGGGTTGCCTCCCAGCCTCACGCATTTTCTCCGGGCTCTCCTTCCTTGACTCATAAAAAATCATTCGTGCAAATAAATTATCAAATTAAGATTGTACCATATTGTTACTAGTCCCGAGATGGCCTAGTTTGTGTCCTAGTTTGTGTCAGTGAATGCTAAACTCTCTCTCTCTCTCTCTCTCTCTCTCTCTCTCAATAAAGCAATAAATTAAAAGATTAGAGTTGGGTAATAAATCAATGTAAAAGAAAGGCTGCATTAATCATAGTCCACATGTAGTAAGTGATTTCTACAGGTCTGGTTGATACAAATTATACTGGACAATCTGTACTCTTATATAGTCATCTTAACCTGAATTGTCCTCAATCCTATAATTATTCTTCCTATCATATTGTAATTATTGTCCCTATTGTCTCACTGTATAATTGTCCTACAGTTAATGAGATATTGTCTGATGCTTTTCAGAGAAAGCAGGGACTATTAAAATGGGTTCATCCATCTGTCTCAAATTTTTTCACAGCGGTAATGTGAAAGCCTTCCTTTAACTTCCTGGATTATTGCCGCTGATAGTACAAAAAATTGCATTTTCAGCTTGTTGGCCTGCTCAAGGGAACAATTTTGTCTGATTTTTATGCAACCTAAAATATATGTTTATATCACAAAGATCTTGGTTCCTTTAGATATTGACACCTGATTATAGCCCTTGATTGTTCGAAAAATTGAGTTATTTACTAGCTTGTTCGTCCATATCTTGCAAAATGTGGGCATATCTTGCATGACAACCGCTTGTTATTCTTGTTGTAACATTGTCATTATTCTCCTGAACTTACTAATGATTATCCTATAGATATGTTTTTATACGAAACATAAAAACTACATACATGTATATGAACTGTCTTCATTAGCCCAGTCAGAGCAGAACATTAAAACCTTAAATTCCTTTTCATTTCATATGAAACAAACTTTAACATCCAATAATCGTTACAAAATTATGGACAGGCCAATTTTAATCTTAAAAAAAAAAATAATTACATGTAATACACAGAAAGTGGATACAAAAACAAACAATATGGAAACCACTTAAACATGTTCATTAAGTTACAGATCAGGAGCAATTAATCAATTTTTTTCAAAGGCATATTTATAGTAATTGAACTGGAATACACAGACTATGATTCTATGTAATATAATTACTGTTTATTACTAAGTGACTTTTCAACTAGGTTTCTCTAGTCATTATCAAGTAATGATTTAATATAACAAGACACTCTATAAATGTAAAAAAAACAATACTTGATTAATACTGACCAACCAGAGACACCCTTACTACATTGATATCCCTGCATCGCATTACAAAAGTCAGATAGACATTAATCAGTTTAATATAAATAGTAATTGTCTTTCATGCTGTGTGTGTCTTTATATTTAGTTTTGGAAAGAATTCTAATAGCCATTGTAGTTCAAAGACAGTTGCAATCTTGTGTGGAAGATTACTGACCTTTAAGTTAACACCCACTATAGTTCTATGTGTGACATCACATTGTATGGTGCCGATGAGATGTGTCTTGTTTACAACAGACGTAGTAATACAACTTGTCTTAGCAGAATTGGTGTCTTTTACACATTTTACGCCCTCGTTTGCTATTTTACGTACCCATTTACACTACTAAATAGGAAATATCTTTCATCCAGATATACCTCCAACTGCTTCTGAATAATTTAATATACAGATGAAATTAGTGAGTGCTTATTAACTCGTCCCGATGTCATCACATTAAGTGATAGCAGACATTTACTGCTGATCAGTTTGAGACATTTAGTATTATATGATCAGATTTGTTACTTTTAGAAAAATCCCTCGTATTTCCCATAATTTGTCTATCAACGAGAAAAGAATTAAACTTGTCAAGGCAAGCAGTGACAAGAGTATGCATGTACATGTGAATTTTAGAGTCACGGTGGCTCAGTAAGACTTTGGCTGGCTAAACTGGCGTCCCTACATTGGTTGAGAAAGTTCATAGGGATTTTTAGGCGTGGTTTCCCCTTGTCAGTGGTGCAGGACAGAGGGCCTGGCAATTGACAACGTAAAAGAACTCTTGGCAGTTGGAATTCGATATAAGAGTAGGCCATAGCGCTGCTGTCCAGGCAAAATTCACGTCAAAAGTGCACTGTATGGTGTATTCTCATTTTCATTAGCCCATAGTAGGAACAGAACAGTAGGACGTTAAACCACATTTCATTTCACAAGTGATTTTGTTCCTTCAAGTGAAATTTATATATTTTCTGATTCTCCCCCCAAAACATTCCAGCTCTTTATTATTAAGAACAGTTCATTCATAGTTTTTAGTTGGTGCTTTGAAGAAGTGGTCGGTCTCCAACTTCTTAGGTGGATTAGGTTGGGCAACCCATTGGTTGAACTCCTTCACTTTACATCATAGACTTGCACAGAGACTAGGAGTTGTGTCCATTTGTTTTCTCCCACTGCTAAAGAACTTCTTGGGGTTATTGGACTAATTATATGAAGATGTCAAATATTTTAAGATCTCGTTTAAGATTCAATCTTGCTGTGATTCTGGAGAACATCAAACCATTAATACCTTGAAATCATTTAGAAACATCATGGGTTTTCATAACTCCTTGTTTCACATAAAAACTGTATTTTTTTTGGTGAAATATTGATTTGCAGGAAAGAAATACATTATTAGTTTCTTTCTGGATTGCATGATTTTGCTTTTGCATATGGAAATATAGATAATTATTTACTTTAAATGTCAACATGTGTTTTACACATGAGGAGAGACATGCATTGTGTATCTGACAGAAAGAATATATTATCCAAGATTACGGCATTCATTGAGTACGTCTGAATTAAGTTTTACTATAATTATATTCTTTTCTTCAGAACTGTGAACGTCATAAATACCATAATCGTGATGAATTTATTGAGGATGTGGAGTTGATCTACACGAATAGTTTGACATATAATGGTGCTAATAGTACATTCACTGCCGCTGGTCGCAAAATTGTAGAAATAGCAAAAAATAATATTCAAGAGGTAAGTACAATAGTTTATTTTTAACAAGTAAAATATTAAAATAACGTGCTTGATAACGTCAAAAGGATACTTGTTGAACCATTGCTCTATTACAGTTGCTAGTGATTGTTATCTATGTTACGTCAATCAATGTTCTCATATCACCAAATGCCTAATGCTATGGGCAGACGAGCGAAGCGTATTTTTTTGCATGATCGCGCCGATTAAAATTTGCCAGTGTGTTTTTACGGCCGATCATGAATGGGCACACATACCATTCTGCAAGTAAATTATGTCGATCATGTGACTTGTTTTAAATGCCGATAGCTGTGGTAGCTTGCTATATATTTGCTAAAAATAAAACCCAGAATACTTAGATGGGCTCGTTAGACAAATAAAAACTTGTGGTACAGGAGTTAGATTCCACGCTTCAGCAGTGGAGGCAGACATTTTGAGATCATGTGATATCAAGTCTAGGATGACGTTTAAAAATTGTAGTAGTGAACTTTGATCCCAATTATTTAATTCAGGGGCGGATCCAGGAATTTTTGCAGGAGGGGGTTTGCCAGGTTCCTGAGACAATGTACCTCCCCCCCCCCCCTCCTGCATGGTCTCTATCGTCATTTTGGAGTATATACATACACATTGAGCTTCTTAAACAGAGAAATTCAACACCTCATTTGACGTCAATTTTTATTATGAATTAATACAATGACATTGTGATTCAATTTCATGGATGCAAAGCATTAATTGTGATATCACATAATGTCTATATCATTATCTCGTGCTTTGACTGCCCATCCTGTCCCACATCTGACGATAAAAGATAAAGCACACAGTCGATAAACTTTTCTCATAAAAAGTGTTGATTTACAAAAAATTTATGCAGCTGAATTCGCCCCCCCCCCCTCTGTATCCGCCCCTGTAATTCCAACCCGTTTTTCACCTTGGTAATATTATATCTACTGAAAGAGATCGGTTTCAGATGAGTTATTTGCCCCTGAGTTAGAAATTGGAATCAGACCAGTTATTTGATAATCTCGCTTACTAACATGGATGTAACAGACTTTATGCATACACTTAGTCATAATTTGATGTTACTTGTATTATGCTGCTATGAAATTCACATCACTTGTTTGTACCTGGGTGCATTTTGGCGTGCACGTAAAAGAACCCATGACAAGTCGAATTCAACAATATTTTTGTTTTATTGTAGAGTGATGATCATATCAATTCTTTAGAAACAGCTATTAGAGGTCGTCATGAAGCTCAGTTAGAATATGCTGATACTGATAGTGTTATAACAGGATCTCTTAATCCGGATGATAGTATGCTTGGTAAGCTCTCTCTCTCTCTCTTATATATGTAGTTAATAGAAGGATACCACCGTGGGGTGGTAGTCCATACCCACCAAGCCTGTAACTCCTCAGTCACAGCTACCCATATACACCAAGTTTCAGCCTCGGGAACAGCCTTGATTGTAGCCACCAACCCTGAACAGACAGCCAGATAGATATAGTTGATGTAATGTTTTTGAAACATATGTGAAGTGAACCTTGCACTACAACTTGTGTATCATGTAGTTGTGCTGTTTTAGCAGTAGTTTCTGTATTTAATGTTTAGTTTCAAAACCTTGTTGGAAAACTGTTCAAATTTGTTGAGAATCATAGACAACTATTTTGTTTCTACTGTCACATAGTTTAGATTAGTCTGATTAGATTAGATAGTGAGTGTTGGGTTTACAAATTTTTACTTTCTCAAAAGGTGTTGAGTAATTAACAGAGTAATTGATTACTCAAGAAACTAAATAGTTATAAACCCCATACTCATTATCTAACACTGTAACCCGGTATCATTTAATCTTGTGTATCTAGCACTAATTTCTTTCACATTCGTTTAATATCAAATCTTTGTTTAAAAATTCGTAAAAATCATTTAAAATCACCAAAAATCATCTAATTTGTACTTGTGTCCAGTTTAAAGCTGACTGATTAATTTTGATAATGAGTGGCCAATTTACAACTATTTAATTTATCCTGACCACTGGTCAAAGATTAATCATTATGCATCAATAATCAATTGGGTTGTTTATTTTCTAACCGTGATAGAGGAATTAAACAGTACTAAATACACAAGATTAAATGATACCCGAATTACAGTGTAATTTACCGTAATTTATTATTGATATCTTATACTTGTTTTAAACAGATAATGAGAGTATGGATGGTGAGATGAGAGATATCGGAGATGATGATTTTGGTGGACCAAGTACATCAAGACAGGTAATAATATTTTATAAACAAGGGTATATATATATATAATTCTCCAAATTAAAAGAACATATCCAGTCAATTTTGTGACACAGCGGATTTTCAAGCTCTTTATTCCTTAACGTTGAAGACTTGTCTGGTTCAAAGACTCATATGGTTCAGAAACTCATTAGAACTTGACACAGCTTATCATTACCTTTATCATCATCATATTTATATCATTATCATTATTGTTACCTTTTATCGTCATGGTTAATAAAAAGCATGCCCCTTGCCAGATCATCCAAATATGTGAGACTTCGCAGAAATCATTCTGTCTTATTCATGAATCTCAGATTAAAATCCCTTTCTTCTGGATACTTAAAGGCTAAGTAGATGGTTGCTATATATTTTAAAAGCTTGAGGGTAGCTTTATTTTAAAGGCAAGAGGTTTGCTAACAGCTAGAGGCTTGCTATATGTAGGCTAGTTTGCATGTGTACCACACCTTTCTTAAAGGCCGAGGAGGCTGTATTTTATAGACTAGAGGGTTGCTATATTTTTGGCCAGTTTGCATGAGTAGCATATACCTGTTTTGTAGACTAAAGGGTTACTATATGTTAAGCTTGTGTGCATGAGTACCATACCTTTTTTAAAGGCTTGAAGTTTGCTATATATTTTAGACCTGTGTGCATGAGCTCACTATATTTTAAAGTCTAGAGTCTTGCTATAGGCTAGTTTGCATGATGAGTACCATTAGCTTTATTTTAAAAGCTAGAGGGTTGGTATATATAGAGAATCTCCTACCAGTCTTTTTTGATATCAAAAAGGACAAGTAGGAGATTTTATTTATCACCCAATCCTTTCTTACATGCACAAATAAATAAATTTAATTCTTTGCTATAGATTACGCTTCACTTTTACTGAACCTGATTACATTAAGGCGTAGTGATACATCATTTTTTGACAGCCATGACCTTTATATTGACCCAGTGTTTCCATCAAGGTCAATTAAATAAAAATTGTTTTTTTTTAATAAAAAAAGAAGTTACTTTTAATAAAAAATGAACTATTCTTTGAAAATAAAAAAAAGTAGTTCCTTTTTAACTGACCAATCAAATTCATGTAAAGGGATATCTCTATGAAACTTATCACACAACTTATATCTACTGTAGAATGTATTATTGGGCGATAAATTGGCTTAGATTAAATGAGTATCTTACCTGTTTTAAGGCTAGAGGCTTGCTATATTTTAGGCTAGTGTGCATGAGGATTCTGATTCTGAATTTGTTGATATAGAAAATGAGGATAATAATATAGATAATAACTATAGTCAGGTAAGCTTGTTGAATAATCACTGCACACAACATGTTGCATGGCAACACAGGTAAACTTGTTGAATAATCACCAAACATAACATGTTGCATGGCAATCTCTAATTAATTCACTTGATGGTTTATTAATATGCTGTTATCTTTTTTGAATGGTTAACATGTGCTTGTTGTATCATAAAATCTGTCATTGAGTCATGGTTTCTATTCCCAGCTGTGGGTGACAAAGAGTAGGATTTCCTGTCCAACTTCGTCGGTTTCGCTGTGTTCTCTGGTTTTCTCCCACTGCTAAAGACCCCTACGTGCAGGCAAATTATTGAAATAAAATTGAACCTATTTCTTTATCTTTCTCTTCAATATCTTGAAGGATTCCCTAATGTGGGCTAATGGTCTTTATTTTGTTTCATAATTTTCCAATCAATATCGGGTTACCTGCACAATAAATAACGTTTATTATTCATAGTGTATCTGAATAGATTTTTCCAGAACCTGAGTCTGTACATTTGATTGGCTTGTAAGATGTATAATTTATGAGTGTATTGACCTCTTAATTACTTAAGTTAAAATTCTACTTTTAGTGAAATATTGAGAAATAATATCATTTTGAAATGGCCAGTTCAAAAAGTTGTTGTATATTGTTGTTACCCTGGTCCGTCCGTCAATCTGTTGTCCACAGTTGTTATTTTATCTTAGTAAGATTCTTAGGATTTACACACAACATTATGTTTATGACATGAATTTCCAATAATTGCTTTCAGGGTTATGACACTTAATCATTTTGAAAAAATTGTGTAAAAGCTCTTGCTGTTATAGTTATCATCCAGTTGACTTCAAATATGTACAAGGTGTTTATGTTTATGAGATAAAGAAGTCTATGATTCTTCAAATATTTCTTATAAGTACTGTTAGAGTTATAACCCCACGATCACTTTTATAAATCGTGTGGTTGCTCTAGAGCAGAGGTGTCAAACATGTGACCCACGGGCCACATCCGGCCCGCCATGGGGTTAAATGTGGACCGTGGAACAAATTTCAACAAACTGATGTGTCAATAATTGTTAGAAACTCTGTACTGTATGTCATAGATTAGATAGCTAAATTGTATGTAATACAAGAGAACGTTGTGTTCAATATTATATCTTGGCAATTTGGAAACTAGTCTGAAAAAATTACCTGTGTCAAGGACATTTGGCTTTGTTTTTAGAATTCAGTAAAGTTCAAGGACTTTTGGCCTTATTTTGATGTAATATTTTAGTTCATGTGGTCCCTGAATCAAAATAAATTTGACGCCCTGCTCTATAGTTTAAAGCTATCATCTGAATAACTTGAGGTTGAAACAGGAGAAGCCTTTTAATAATTATAGTTATTTTATTTGACCACCTCGAAAAAACTTGTGGATGCTAATCATCTGATTACTGGTACATGTTTTGTTAGATCTAGGTAGAACCAGAAGCCAATCAGATTTTAATTATTTCTGATAATTACTTCATGGGTTGTTACTATTCGTCAGGTTTGAGTGTCGTCTAAATGCTCCCATTTTCTACAGTGTATGTTTTGTTGGATGGCAACCTGTCTTTAGAAGTAGAAATAAATATCTTATATTTATCAGATAAGTTCGGAATTTCAATAGCCACTTTAAGATTGGAAGAGTACAAATCACTAGAGTACAAGTTCAGATAAAGTATACTTGTTATAGTAGAGTGTCTGGTTGATTATAACCAGTTAGGTCATGGAGAAGTTATTGTAAATAATTAGACCAGTTAAAGTAGCAACAATTTTGTTAATTTATGAAACCCAGCATGGAGTTATATCATACATGGTCATCTACAAACTTATCATAACCACTGTACTGGTCATTCGAGTCTTAGCCTTACTTCTCCATCTTTAATTTAAATTAAATCATTGAATGGCTGAACCCTTCCAATCTACTTCCCATTATTATAGTCTGATGTTAATAAATGCCTAACTAATAATTTAGATAACATTTAAGGCCCAATGAAAGACCTGCAGTGGGCGGATTTAGCTCAAGAGCATAATGCATCTTTACAGTTTAATCTACATATTCAACAATTAGTGTGTTTATAAGCTGTTTAATGAAGATAAATTATTATGGTTCGCATGGACTTAATACCTCTTTAAGCATGTTATTGTAAATAATTCGGCCATCGAGGAAGATGTTATTGTGAATGCACCATATTGTTAGTTCATCATTATCTCATACACCATGTTGTGTCTCCACCCCTTTACTTTTATACTACTTAATCAATTTATTCAAGATGTGTTTCATTAATAACATCCACCCAAAAAAATCACACACTTACCATTTTCTTCATTAGTTTTAACGTCTAATAAAAAAAATCTGAGACAAATTAACTCTCCTTCTTTTAATCTTGAGTAAAAAAATAAATCTCATGACATCATTTGTGCGTGAAGTAGTAGCAGATTTCTAGAAGGCTGTTAATTTAGCGTGATGAAGACAAACACTTTTAATGGTAGCCATCCGTGAATCTGGTCAGACTTCTGTCGATGTTATAAAGTACATTTATAGACCATCATCTTGTATCTGGTGTTTTATTTTATTTTTTTATTAGATTAAAAACTACAGGAAAATGAGTGTACTCGATGAATGGGGGTGGATGGGTTAAAGGGTCTGTCATTGAGTCAAGTGGTATGGTTTCAGTTCCTTGCCTGTACGTAACAACCTGGTTGGTTTTCTCCAGTCCCTCTGTTTTCCTCCCAGTACTCAAGACCCCTACCATGTTGTAGTTTGTAGTTTGTATCCCCTCCCGTCTCTCTCTCTCCCTCTGACAATATTAAAGTCCATCTGTTGAGTTATCACTGTCTATGTATATATTATAGGGTGATAGTTCTATGGCGGAGAATGATGATGAATTAGCTAAAGATCTACAGATGACCGATAATGAGGAAGAACCAAGTGATCTGGGTGGTGAATGGGAAGAAAAACAAGATCCATTAGGTACAGTTCAATTATATAATTATAAAAACTTTTTTTAAAGCAGCAATAGTATTATAAATTTATAACAAAACACAACAACCACTTCCAGTCTTTGCATAGAGTTAAAACATTTATTAAATCTTAACCTGCACATTTCGAACAATACAACATTTAAAAAATCATGTTCTTAAATTAGCTGGTTACCAATTAATCTAACTTTTATTTAAAGTAAGAGGGAATTGGATGGCCGAATTGTTAGCACGTGTGCGCTGTATCATAAGGCCTGTCATTGAGTCAACTGGCGTGGTTTCGAATCCCTGGTTGTACGTGACGAGGAGTAGGGTGCCTCTCCAACCTCGTGGCTTTTCTCCGGATCCTCCGGTTTCCTCCCACTGCTAAAGACCCCTATGCGCAAGCGAATTATTGAAATAAAAAAATAAACCATATATTAGTCCCCAAATGACCTAGTTTGTCGAGTTGCTGTTAAACCCCATTCAGGTCTGTCATTGAATGAAGTTGCATGGTTTCAATTCCCTGCTTGTATGTGACAAGGAGTAGGGTCGCCTGTTCAACTGCTGAAGACCCCTACGAGCACTCGACTTGTGCAGTTGTTTCAGCTGTCCAGTTATTAGAGGCTTTATTTTAGAAAGCTTGGGGCGTATAGTGATGATGCACCTTTTCAGTGTTACAAAAGTTATGGAATTCTAATGATTCATTTTTTGTCTTGTTTTTTAAGGTAAACTAAGTGACAGTGAAGAGGAGAGTGGAGGGGATGGTGAGGGACAACAATATTACGAGGAGACGGAAGAGAACCAGGATTACGTGGTGGAAGATCAACAATATTATTCCGTGGACAATGAGTTCTCTCAGCAACAAGTCTCTGAGGTTCAAGACTTTGACGAAAATAGTTTTGATCCTACAGAGTTCTTTATGAACAGCGCCTTAGCTCAGCAAGCAGCCCAGGGTCAGGAACAAACCGATATCGGAGGCGATCTCCAAGTTTCTGAATCAGACAGTGATGGCGATGACTTTGAACCAATTCCTACGCAAAATCAGGCCACGGAAGGTTTTGATTTGGACGAATACATGTGACCATAAGGAGTGGTTAATGTGAATCAATTACAAATAGTAGCACATTTAATCATAGTGTGAAATGGTGGTTAATTTATTGATGTGAAGTGTAATTCTTATAGGGTATTGGTGAAGAATGAAAGATTATATTGGTGTGGCCTAAGCTTTATAAGCCTTTAGGAGACCTGTTAAAAAGGCAAACTTTAAAGAAAGTGGTCCCGAAAGAAAGTGGTCCATAATCAGGACCTTGTCTCACCACAAAAAACCTAAATCATTTACATAATAGCAATGTATTTAAGATAAAAAAAGAATTGTGGAGCCCCTGCTGAATGTGAGGTCTATATTATGTTTTGCTTATGCCTAAATTGTCTGTGGAAACAGCTGTTAAATTTAAAATTGTAAACATTCCCAATAAATTAAGATGGCACCATTGAATGCCTTAGTCATCAACAGTGCTAGATGTATAGACTAACTGCTGAACCTGTATTAACACACTGAGATTCTAGATATCCTGATGTCTTTAACCCTATAGTGATTCGTGAACATGGGGTTACATCGGACAAATCATCATTACTGTATGAACTAACAAAGTCTATGCTGGTTGATAGTGTCCTGTTTATCTGAACCTGGGTTGAAGGAAACTGCAAAGGTGCTTTCCTTTGAACAAATTATATCCAGGAAATAATTATTCTGTGAACTAACCAAGTCGACACTGGTTGATAATGTGTCTTTGTGAAACCTGTAAAATTTAGGTATCATATTGCTAAAGATGCATTATGTAAGATTATGAAGCCAAAATAAAGACCTACAATAGGCAGATTTAGCTCTTACATGACGCATCATTAATGTCGATGAACTACTGCATGGTTCATGTGGATCCAGGAACTACTGCACAGTTTACAAGGTTGTCAGCAAGGCTCTGGTTTAACTCATATTTGTCTGGGTGAAATTGACTGGCTGCAAAATTTATCTGTCAGTCAATTCTCATGCCATAAAATTAGAATTTCTCAGAATTAAACTTTGATATAGATTTCGTTAATTACATAATATATCGATACTGATGTAAATATATGTATAATAAAACAAATATAGTTTGTATATGATATTTGTGATTCATAAAGAAGTAATCATTGTACTTCATGTCTATTATGAAACGAAATGAAATCAGGGTTTAGTTTTACTGTCGGCATCAACAGGCTGATAAAGCCGAGCACCAACAAAGCTGATAGAGCCGAGCACCAACTAGGCTGATAAAGACGAGTACCAACATGGCTGATAAAAACGATCTCCAACCAGGCTGATAAAGACGATCACCAACCAGGGGCCAGTTTCACGAAATTTTAACTAAGGATAAAATCCAAATTTTAGTAATTTGATTGGATAATATTAGATTGATTTTAGTGCTCAGCCAATCAAAATTTAAGTAGCTACTAAAATTTGGATTTTATCTTTAGTTAAGATTTCGAGAAACAGGGCCCAGGCTAATAAAGACGAGCACCAACCAGACTGACAAAGACGGACACGGGCCTTACAGTATTCTTTGAGGGAAATGAAATGAGATTTAACCTCCTACTGTTCTGGCAGTTCCGCAATAACCAAACAGGCACAAGCTATAGAGTCTATTCTTATTTCCATTTCTATGGGATAGACATTTGTGATTGTACAATGATGTTCTCCTGGTGATCCATTCTAAAATGAAATAAAGGAGGACTTCCTACTTGTGGTCCAGACACTTGTGTAATAATCTTTGGCCGTCATACGATTCATACGGTGACAATATACCCCCTCCCCCCCTCTAACCGACCTGACAATAGACTCTCCCAACCAGTCGAAATATATACTCTCCTCGAGTCCTTGCTGGCCTGACAATATGGACTGGTAAAAGTCTCTCCCAGTCGATCTGACAAAATGGACACTCCCGACTTGTTGACGTTGACTTGGAGCGTTTATATAAGTGGGAACAAAAAGCAAGATCCTGTGTACATACTGGCGTGCACGTAGAAGAACCCTTGACAATTGGAATTCGATATAAGAGTAGACCATATAGTGCCATTTTCCTGCCAAAAGTTTCCTCATGGGGCCACACTGTAGTGTATGGCATTTGTCGGCCTTCATTAGCCCAGTCGGCACAGAAAAATAGGACGCTAATCCCTACTTCATTTCTCCAACATAAAGACAATGTGCATTCAATTCTACAAATTACATTGTCAGATCTTCAAGACACACGTTTTCTTAGCTGGTTTTTTACTCTGAATATGAATGAAATAAGGCATGTTTACAGATTTCCATGTCGAATAAAAATTATAAAGTTTATTTTCACAGATGATGACAATGACCTTGTTGACATTCTGGTGTTGCCCAATGGTAGCACTGTCGTTAACCGACAGGTCGGTCTGAAAAACATCAAATAACAGACACAAATTAAATACATTTTCACATTATACTAGATGAGGCTAAGCATCCGCTTCCACGTCAAAGGTCATATCCGTTCAAGAAAGTGTTAATTACATAGAAGGATTATGTGTGTTTTGATATACATTACATTTACGTTTTAAAGTTTGACCATGGTTTTATTGTAATATAGGTTGGTTTGACCATGGCTTTATTGTAATATACATTGCCATGGTTTTTTTCCAGTATCTTGCGTCATAAAGTTCATTACGAACTTACCTCTACAAATACAGGTTCCCTGCTGGTCACAGGAAGGTTCTTGGTTATTACCACAGTGTGCTAGATGGTCACATTCACGATCGTCTCGACAATTATTTGCCGGCAAGTCTGAAATGACGCCATATTAAAGGACAATATGAGATAGAACCAATTAAACACGTTCCAAATATAATTTTATCACAGAGATCATTGCTACGATAGCTGAGTAATACAGGTTTCCTGAATCTGACAATTCATAAAAGAATTGACTGCCACTAGATAAGAGAAAGAAAAACAGAAAAAGTCCGTGCATTACCGTGTATAGAATGAATATAAACAAGAGAATGTGGGGACTATTTCTATTTTTCTCGTGTTCTCTTATCTAATGACATTCAATTACTTTATTGAATTGTCAGATATCCTCTTACAGTCCCATATAACAACTTTTGGTCTTCGAAGGAATTATTAGTGAGCAGAAACTCGGCCGTGTATCTGTTATCACTCGTCACATCAGTCAGTTATATAGAGAGCTGACTCGTGTTTTCCTTTGGCGTTCGTCACTTCCGATTCAGGAAACCTGTATTACTCAGCTATCGTAGCAGTGATCTCTGTGTTCAAATTATATTTGGATGTGTTTAACCAGCTCTATCACATAATGTGATAGTGACTGGCGCCAATATTGTCCTTTAATGTACAGATTGGACAACTTATTGACAGTTGAATAATAATAATAAATATCGGTGACATCTAGGCAGTGAGAGAAATCGGGTTTAATGTCCATTCGACACAAAGTAGGTTATTTCGGGTCTAACTTTAAAGATACATTGTCCCGAAAGAACTTACCGAGTGGTTATTTCCAATAAAAGTATGGCAATTATGTATGGAAAGTATAGACGCCCAATCTTAATAGAAAAATACTGGATTACCAACCACTCCCATGGGGAAAGCACTGGACAAAAATGTCAGGGAATCATTTACTGACAATACGACTGTTGTCTGCCAACTTATTGACTGAGGTAGCGGTTGTTATTTCTTGATCAAATATTTAGGCGGTTTTTTTTAACATTGTCGGGTGTGAACGTACAGACGACGGAAAAAGAAGTTGACTGAAATTAATTAAGAATTTTCTTAGGCCTCAATATGTATGGTAAATGGACAGAAAGTAATGAAAAATACATTGTGAAGATTGGGCCCTCCCTCAATGAAGTTGGGTGACAATCGTGGCTTATAACACCAGTTTATGTACAGCTTGGGGTATCTCCCCGAGAATACGAAACAAATCTTTGACAGATTAATTAGTTTGAACGTGTTTTAAGCCCAAATATATCATCAAATCACACATGACAATATCTTTAAAGGGAGGCCATGGTCCACTGACGAGGAAATCCGTGGTTCTTTTCGGTTTTGGCCTAGAATGTTCCCCGGGATTTTGAAGCGTGGTCCGTTTAGGAGTCCTGTCACAATATCACATGGCCACATAATATTCTTGTGTAGTGTAGGACCATTGCTTTATACTAATATACGTTGGTTTAAACATGGCTTTATTCTAGAATCTTGTGTAAAGTGCATTACGCACTTACCTCTACAATGGCAGCCATGCTGCGCGTCACAGAAAGCTTCTTCATGAGGTGCACACTGCAGTTGCCCGCAGTCACGATTATCTCCACAATGAGGTAGGTCTGAAATTATAATATGACATGTTAATTAAGGCGCAACCACCGCCGTCATGGCAAGATACTCCGACTAGCATTACACAATTATAACCATATAAATAAAAATATCAAAGAGTCAATTTAATTCTAGTCCTGGCTTAATAGTAATATACATTGTTTTGACCATGACTTTAGCGTAATATACGTTGGTTTGACTATGACTTTAGCGTAATATACGTTGGTTTGACCATGGCTTTATTGTAATAACGTTGGTTTCACCACGGCTTCAATGTAATATATGTTGGTTTGACCATGGCTTCATTATGACATTAAAGTGGCATACGTACTTACCTCGACAGCCACAAATCCCATGCTCGTCGCAGAAACCTTCTGAGTTAGCATTACATTGGCCATGATCACATTCACCATCGTCTCGACAAGGGTGTTGTTGTCGTTTTCCTACAAAATGTCGGTCTGAAAACAGGACAGATAAATATAGTTTAAATACGTTACTCAACGTGGTAACTCGAATAGGCATACGGGCGATTAGCTACGAGAACGTAGCTAAGAACTTTGAAATATACTGTGATGTGTCAAGATTTCGTCAAGGTCCCTTAGATGTAAATAAGGTTAGGGCACATGATTTTTAGTGGAATTGTCGGTTAGGGTAAGTGAAAGGTCTAGGTCCAGGATTAGGGCTAGGATTAGCACCAGCCGCGTTTACATCTCATGATCTCATGACCAAACTTGAAATAGATCTAACCGTGTCAGGTTGGATTATATGCTTAATTGTAGTTGTTTTGAGGCAAAAAAATGCCATTTTTGCCTTTTGAAGTCCGATCTGATTCGTATCTGGATTTTGCCAGGTAAAGTATATACTACCATCGGGTCCTATGAATGTTAGGCCCGAAAAACTTCACGTTTGCAGAGGCAATCAGCGGACGCCGCAAGCGCGAAGCGCACTAAAATTTTGTAAATTGGCCTACTGGGAATCGGTCGCCAGTGAGCGCCGGAAATTCGCTGAGAACATTTTGAATCGTAGAGCTTTTTCCTGCTATTCCAGCCTGCACGTAGTTGGTCCAATATAGTTTTACATATGTTACTGACCTGAATTCTAATCAAATCAGATTATTGTAGCTACACTCATCGGACACCAGACATTTAACTACCCGACAAAATTGACGAAACAAATGATAATGCACGGAAATGTTCATGGAGCCGTTACATCTGGGGTATGAAAATATTTCCTGTTATTCCATGCTGACAGTACAACGTGCAACTTCAAATCTGTCCAATATAGCCTTGTTTATATAGGGTTCCAACAGAAATCCCTTTCCTTGCAGACCTAACTTCCAATCAACCAATCAATTGGACTGTTAAACTTGGAGCTGCATTCGTCGGACATCATATATTTAACTTTCCGGAAAACTGACCAAACAATTAATATTTATGATGCCCGAAAAACAGTGTTTATAGACACTGTTTATACATGTTTTAAATTTAAATCCATTGGTCAATTACGATTCCACTGTACACAGATTAGGTCATTTCGACTCATCGGGAACAATTTTGTTTCGAGTACACGCGACCTCGGGTTTTATCACATCTGAACCACAAGATGGCATTGGCCCATTACTTGCTAGGCCTTCTGTCCTGTACTACTGCACGCCAGAAAACCCGAGGTACTTTCTCGGTAAACACCGGGATGGAACCCCGGACCTCCTGGTTATCGAGCGATTCAACGTCTTACTCGCTGAGTCACCGCTACTCCCTACCTAGTATCATGAAGTGGCTTCAGTACTAACCTCTACATGCACACCTTCCATCACGTACATCACAGAAATGTTCTTCGTGAGGTTGACATAGAATCACACCTCCACATTCGTGGTCGTCACGACACTGAGGTTGAGCTTCTACCATCCATACAGCTGGAAATAAATAAAAAGAGAAAGATATTATTTTACATGCTTTTATTCTTATGATGGTTAATTCACTAAGGGAGGGGAGGGGTGGTGGCTAGGAGGGAACGTTGCTTGCTCGCTAGCCTGGAGGTCGCGGTTTCGCTCCCGGCATTGGCCAAGAAAGTTCATCGAGATTTTCCGTCGTGGTTTCCCCTTGTCAGTGGTACAGGACGTCTAGTTGTTCGGATGGGACGAAAAACCGAGGTCGCGTGTACACATTGGCGTACACGAAAAGATCCCTTGGCAGTTGTAAATTCGATATAAAAGTAGGCATTAGCGCCGCTGTCCGTGCAAAATTTCTCTCATAGAACACTGCGTGGCGTATGCCCGTCTTTATTAACCCAGTCGGAGCAGAACAGTAGGACGTTAAAAATACATTCCCACGTACAAACTGGGTGATTTGATGATATATTTGGCCTAAAAACATATTCAAACTAATTAATTTGCTTCAAATCCTTCTCAAAACATTGTAATTGTCAAGGAATACACTTGCTATAAAAAATCGATCAAAAGAGGTCATGTCTGTGTCACAGACTTACGGGTGCGAAGTCGGAGGAGAATTCATTGCATACACAAGACGATGTTGTCTTTAATCGCTGACTATTTATTACAAAATATATCGAATCCTAATTAAATTCTCGGATTATCCACTGCCCGCGTCTTTCTCCGCGAATTTTATCTCAGACGGTATTGTACGTCTAACTCTTCGTCAAGTTTATTAACATGTACATCAAGCGCTCAATCTTTGACGTCACGCGTGCAGATATCCCTAATCGTCGGGCTGTCGATTAGGGGAACCCTGACATTCTTGTCATGTATACGCTCCATGAGGGTTTTTCAGGGAATCCAGTATTTTTCTAGTAAAATTGGACATAGTATTTACGTACCTGCTACGAGCGCTACTACAAACAACCATTTCATTTTGATGATTTTCTTACAGGTAAAGATTGGTATATGAGGTCTTCGTTTCAACGGATTATTTATATTAAAGCAGAAATGTTATTTGGTCCATTTTGAAATTTAAAAATCAAGTGGACCTTGTTGATAATAGGACTATAATTTATGGACCACGGTTTTTGTTTAAAAGCATCGATAAGATATCTGATTACGTTTTTAAATTCGCTACGTTTTTTTTTTAAATTTTCATTTTTTGATCGAATTGTTAACTTAAAATGCCAACATTTCAGGATAAATGTGAAATATAGAGTAGACGTCAGTAACAGAAAACTATTTTAATAAAATGACACAGGTGCGATACTAGCCTACTAAAGCAAAAGTGTCTATTGTCTTTTTTCAGGTTTTTTTTCTAATGAACTATAGAAAACACCTCTATAAACAGTTCAGTTTTTAGCTGAACTGCAAGTTTTCCTGTGAGATGTGTTAGTACCCAATTATATCCTCATAAAATATTAGATTGATTTAGTTGATTACACCATGGCAAATTAGAAAAATATTTTTTAATAGCAAAAAATGGGCTATTTTGGCACCAAATTTGGGTGATCTGTTATTCGGACAATAATTGATTTAAACAAACACAATTTTGTGCATTAGTAGGACCACACAGTCTCCTCCTACACACTACGATATCTTGGTACAGGTCGGATAACCAACTCTCTCTGAAAATTAAATTTAATGAAAACCAAAGTTTTGAAGGGCCATAGCTCGTTCTTGCAGGGACTAGGGCCGCAGTTGATTGTTAACCACAACTAGCAAACTTCCTTCAAACAAAACAAAAAATAAAAATACCGGCTCAGGCATAATAAAACAGGAGGAATAAATTAAAAACACCAAAAATTGGGATAAAATGTTCCGTTTATCAATATTCCAGATGAAGTATATGTGTAGCCATCTTTACAACTTTAACATATTCCATTTAATCGTTAGCAAGCTTATTTTGGAACGAACATGTGGTGGTGTATATAATCCATTCAGTCGTCATAAATCATGATTTTCACTTTAGAGATAAAAATAAGGTTTAAGATTCACTCTATACAAACTAGGTAATTTCGCGACTAGCATTTTATTTCAATAATTCGATCTAAAGCCCATGTGTTAGACCACTTTTGACTTAACTAAGGGACAAGTTTCAATGCAATTTACACGGAAATGATATATGAATATGATATAGTAATGAAACATATTTCAGCTCCCGGGTAAAAGATCACTACGCTGTCAATAAAGGCAGGAGGTTCGCAGCAGCATCTCTACATTTTCGTGGAGAACCAGACAACCGAATCGCCAGAGACGCATATCAGCTAAGTCCACGATCAGCTAAGCTACGTGTCCCGTGGTTACGGAGGAATGTACATATTGGTTCATGTAACAGGTATTAAGGACGGGAACGGGTGGGGGTGTAGATGATTCATAATCACATATATATATATACAGATGTTAAGTGTGGCATTATTTGACGGGTGGGTCTGTTCATTGTCGACTATCTTTAAATTATCACCGATTTCTTCCATGATTGATTACTGAAGTTCCTCGTGCCAAATAGGTTATTTTGGTATAACAAAAAAATATTTTAGGAATCAGACCGTGCTTATTGCCATCTGTATTTAGGAACGGGTCAGTGCATAGAAACATTTGGAACTTTTAATTGAGAAGTGGTGAAAATCAGGAGACAACACACATTCCGTATTGAAATCACCCAAATGAGAAGATGACATATATAGCCCCAAAACAGCATTACAAAAATGGCGTCCCAAAACTAAGAACATGGGAAATCAGGTTAGAATCTAAGTAAGTGAACATTTACTTAGAATCTAATTAAGTGAACATTTAGTTAGAATCTAAGTAAGTGAATCGCATTTTCTCATGTGACCAACGGTTATGTTCAAATAACCACTGATCATCACCATTACTACTATATGTTTCGTGGAATTTAGGCATATGTCGAAGGTTGGCATGTGCAGTCAGAATTATTCTGGCTTGTAAAATAGCGTAAAAATATGGTATACTAGCAGGATACCCGGCTTCGCTCGGGGGTCATAACTCCGAAACCGGAAGTGGTAGACTAACGCCACCTGGCCTATGTTACTCCCCGGTCCGAGCTACCCCTATACCCCAAATTTCAGACTCGGGGCAGACCTAGTGTAGCCGCCAACCCCGAACAGACCGGCTTCGCTCGGGGGTCATAAATCCGAAACCGGAAGTGGTAGACTAACGCCACCTGGCCTATGTTACTCCCCGGTTCGAGTTACCCCTATACCCCTCAATTTCAGACTCGGGGCAGACCTATTGTAGCCGCCAACCCCTAACAGACAGACTTCGCCCGGTGGTCATAACTCCAAAACCGGAAGTGGTAGACTAACGCCACCTGGCCTATGTTACTCCCCAGTCCGAGCTACCCCTATACCCCAAATTTCAGACTCGGAGAAGACCTAGTGTAGCCGCCAACCCCGAACAGACCGGCTTCGCTCGGGGGTCATAACTCCGAAACCTGAAGTGGTAGACTAACGCCACCTGGCCTATGTTATTCCCCGGTCCGAGCTACCCCGATACCCCAAATTTCAGACTCGGGGCAGATGTAGCCGCCAACCCCGAACAGACAGACTTCGCTCGGGGTCATAACCCCGAAACCGGAAGTGGTAGACTAACGCCACCTGGCCTATGTTATTCCCCGGTCCGAGCTTCCCCTATATCCCAAATTTCAGACTCGGCGCAGACCTAGTGTAGCCGCCAACCCCGAACAGACGGGCTTCGCTCGGGGGTCATAACTCCGAAACCGGAAGTGGTTGACTATCGCCACCTGGCCTATGTTACTCCCCGGTCCGAGCTACCTCTATACCCCAAATTTCAGACTCGGGGCAGACCTAGTGTAGCCGCCAACCCCGAACAGACAGACAGACAGACAAACGACAGTCACATATAGATCAAGGTTGTGGACCCTATAGAGGTCACAATTTTGATCCGATTTTGTTGAAACTTGAAATGTAAGTTTATAACCCAAAGATCTCGGTTCCTTTCGATATTCGCGCATATTGGACCGTAACTTCCTGATGTATGGCCCCTGATTGTACGAAAAATCGCGTTTTTAGCTTGTGGACCCTATAGAGGTCATAATTTTTATCTGATTTGAAAAGCCATATTTTATATCACCGTTACACCCTAAGGACAGCTGAGTTCGAATTTCGTGAAAATCGGTTCAAAACTGACAGACAAAATGGCCGCCCTTCGTTCTCAAATAGCGTAAAAAATATGGTATATCAAGGTTGTGGACCCTATAGAGGTCACAATTTTGATCCGATTTTGTTGAAACTTGAAATGTAAGTTTATAACCTAAAGATCTCGGTTTCTTTCGATATTCGCGCATTTCGGACCGTGACGTCCTGAATTATGGCCCCTGATTGTACGAAAAATTGAGTTTTTAGCTTGTGGACCCTATAGAGATCATAATTTTTATCCGATTTAAAAAAAAAAAAAACGTATTATTATATCACCGTTACACTCTAAGGACGGCTGAGTTCGAAATTCATGAAAATCAGCCCAAAACTGACAGACAAAATGGCCGTCCCTCGTTCTCAAATAGCGTAAAAATATGGTATATCAAGGTTGTGGACCCTATAGAGGTCACAATTTTTATCCGATTTTGTTGAAACTTGAAATGTAAGTTTATAACCCAAAGATCTCGGTTCCTTTCGATATTTGCGCATATCGAATTGTAATTTCCAGAATTATGGCCCTTGATTGTAGGTAAAAATCACTTTCTTTTTAGCTTCTTCCCTATCCATCTCTCGAAAATGTGGGCGTATCCTGCCCGACAACCGCTGTTTTTTTTACCTAAATACCACGAAACATATAGTAGTAATGGTGTGATCAGTGGTTATTTGAAAATAACAGTTGGTCACATGAGAAAATGCGATTCTTTAGTTAGATTGTGCTGATATAGCTTGCCATACCAGCCCATACATTTATACACTTCCCTGCTACTATTTACTGAATACATGAGAATAATTGTTGTCTGGTTCTGCAAAATTATACACCAGTTACCCCCCCCCCCCCTTCTTACAATGGTTTCGAGCATCCGATTTTGTCACAAAAACTTTATATTTGTCACAGAGAACACTCAAATAACAAAATATATTACTAATGTTGATAATCGATGGTCATTTGAACTCATTTAAACTCTTATAGCGCACTAGTGGATTTAGTGCCGGTCAGTTTTTTTTTCTCTCCTGACATTTACTTGGACGAATGTCCTTTATAACCACACCACGCAATTCTGCCAGACTCGCCCAAAAACAGCTACACGCGTTTTAGGATGACATATGTAAAATGACCACATTAAGATAACTCACTGAAAATTCCACGCGACTCATTAATTCCCAAACGATTGCTGGATTTTAAATCGACCACTTATCATACCTGACCAGTATCAAAATTTTAGGGTCACAACATTTCGAGTAGGAGCCTTTTGAAATTAGGGTAGAAATTTGGTCGAAATATGGCAAATTTTGAATAAAAAATCTCAACAATTTCCAGTTACACCGTCAGTTGTCATTTTAAAAAAGACCCCCCCCCCTCCAAGAAAAATACCTAATCGTGTGACGGCTGTAGGAGCCCTAAGGGCATTGGGGAATATAAATCTACTACACCAATGAATAAGCAACTCTGTATTCTCGGTTGTTAGATACTTCTTGGTTTTGTTAATTCTGTGAAGCTGGAAATAAGAAAAACAAACAGTTCTGATGTGGAAGCTCAAGGACATCGAGTAATCTAGAACTGTACCTATGGTTCTTTTTTTTTAGAGTGGATCAGTTTTGAAAGGTTAATGCCACGCTTCTAGATTTTAATAATATCCCCATAGAGGTTACGTTTCTTGAGAACGGGTCAAATGAGCTGTAAGGAGCTATTAAGACAGCTACAGGGAACTGGAAGAAGAGGATGAATAATTATCTTTCCTAAGAGTGGTTGGTGCTAGATCCAACTCACAAGTAGAGATG